CTCTTTCCTGCCCAGGCAGGGGGTCAGACCATGATCTGTTGAGGTCCCTTTCAACCCTAGCGTCTATGAATCTAGGATTTTTTTAAAGACAACATCTTTAGGGTTGGAGGATTCCTGGGCTTGGCATACCATTGTATGTGGGGCTTCTATTTCTAGTGTTATCCGGTAAACATTTATGTAAGTATGATATCTTCAGATACTCTAGACAGGCTGAAGGATCTGAAAGTTTCATTTTAACCTTCAGTGGTGGATTTCAGGGTCCTGTCATTCTTTGCAGTTTGTTTTCCTTGGTCTTGGATTTGTGTGTGAAGACTCCATGGACACTGGATATAAAAAAGCATGATGAGATTAGCCATACAAGTGTTATCAATTACACAAGAAAATAAATTAGAAAAATACAGGAAAATACTTTTTTTTTTTTTTAAGAAATGGATCATACCTTTTTTATTCCAACTATAAGCAGCTGCTTTTCAAATAACATACTTTTGGCTAGGGACAGAAGTTACAGATAAACTAGTTAAGTCATCAGAAGCTAGCTTAAGCCTGTTACAAAACAAAGTTCAGTGTATATAAACCAGTTTCAAAATGGCTGAAACTGGTTTAAGATAAACCTGGTTGAATGTGGTATCAGACTTAACTGATTTGGGTCAAACCGGTCTATGAAACTTCTGTCCCAGACCCCTTCCTGGTTTAAGTTAAATCACAGCTCCCCAGCATCCCAGCATGTTTTTCAGCTCTGGGATGGGCTGTGATGTCTGCTCCAGCAGAGAAGGGTTGGTGTGGGGGGGGGAAGGGAGGCAGGGGCTGCCCCCCCACCAAGGCAAACCCTGGCTGGGGTCTGGTGACAGGAACGGGGGTTAAACCACCCTTTCTCTGAATACAGAGCTGCCTTGCCCTGCTAAACTTACTGAAACTTACTGGTAGCTGCAACTGTGGACTACAAATCCCAGAGGACCTGGAAGTAGGAAGTGATGAGCAACCCTGCACAGTCCTACTTCTGTAATTCTGGAGTTCAAATCCTAGAGACCTTGGAGACAGCAGGAAGAGGAAGCAAACACACAGCCGATGCTGACTGCATGCCAGAGAGCTGTGCTCTTGTGCACCCCCGCCCCTCTGGCTTCTGGCCTGAGCCACTGCAGGCATGTGGCTGCATTTCCTGAATCAGAAATAAATGTGTGTCCAGTTGTTTCTTAGTTTAATTTCTGCAGCCCAGACTAACCTGCAAAGACTGAATTGATTCAGCCTTGGGCTTTTTGTCTATCCATACTTAGCCTTTAAGTTAACAGTGTCATAGCTTTTGTGTTAAATTTTGTGTTGTGAACCTTTTTGAAATTATTAAATTGGGCCAAGTTCAGTACAAAGATAAAACAGCAATTAAAATCCTCCATCTATTTTTAAGAGGTTGTGCTTGAAGTAAGGTGGACAGCCTTCTACATTATAGTGACAACAATAGGTCAGTGAGATGTATGCTTTATGACCTTCTGCTGAAATCAGCGGCATTACTTAAGATTTTTGTATGCCACAATCTTTTGAAGCGTGTGTTTTTGGCAGTTGTACTTTTCAGCGCTCAGTATGACTAACGTAATTCAAATGAGGGGTTTCTTAGATGTTTTTTTTCTGATGGATATAGTTTTATTTTCTAAATGACAGCCATGCCTGGCAAAATTATGTAAGTCTAATTTCCTTCTTTAAAATATAATAAATATATGTAAGATATTTCTGTAAAGGGTAAAATATACTGTAAAATGAAATACTGGAACAGCTGCATGACCTCTTGTATTTCTGAAATCAGAAATGAAGAGGCTCTGTTCAACACAGAGCAAAGTTCTACCCTGCTGCCCATCTCCCCATAACTGCAGAGTAGGTTGGATCAATCTTACTTATGAAGAGCCACAGTTAAATAGAAACTTTTCATAAATTGTCAAGTATTGGAATTGTTTATCTTCTACCTGTTAACTATTTTAAAGCATACATATGGCTGCTGTAGCAAAATGTTTCAAGGTTTTAGAAAAGAAACCAGTGCTGAGTTTGTCTTGGCACTCACCTCACCATATAGCAATTTCTTTTGGTGTGCTGACACATGGAGCTGCTTAGATATATTAAACATTTTCTCGTTTGGCAAGTGCTGTAAGTGAAACATAGACATTTGTTCACAGAAGTCATGTAAAAATCATATACTGCATAGATGAGGAATTTCAGACAAAGATACTTGGTAGCTGTATAGAAATGTAAAAATATATATATATATTTTAAATAAATAAAAGCCCAGTATCTTTCTATTATGGTAGATGAAATAACTCAAGTTTATAACGTATTGTTATAAAATTGCATCTTCATATCAGTTTTGTTGCATTACAACTTTGAAATAAGAGGATGGTAACCATTTTATTTCATTCTTTTAAGCATGGTGTTTAAAAAGGACTTAGTTGGGGATAGATGTGAAAGCAGTTTTATTGCTGGAAGAAAGGTAATCCATTCAATATAGGGGCTGTTACAGTTTTATTTTTATTACAGTGGTGACTAGAGACCAAGTAAGTTTAGGGTCCCTATTGTTCTAGTCTCTGTACAAACATATATCAACAGACAGTCCCTAAGCTGAAGAGTTTACAACCTAGAAGTGAAAT